GCGTGTCGGACCATTGCCATTTTGAACATCTGTGGTTCTGCATGAACACAGCCGCTGCTTTTTTTTTTAATGATAATTTCTTCCAAATACGTCCCCCTGAACATGCAGGCTCAGGATGCTGCTTATATTGTATTTTCAACCATGTCCTTGTGAGTGGAAAGCAGAGCATGTCAAAATGCTAAGCGGATTTACTGCTATGATTCTCTCTGGAATTTTATTACCTTCACATTTACTGGGAAAGAAAACAAAGATTTCCACAGACCTGTCATGGCTGATAGGTTAATTAGGGGGAGTTGAGGGGGGGGATAGGTCATGGCCCGAGTGAAAACTTCATGGGTCTTCTCAAGTAGAAACCTTCAAAATCCTTAATGATCAAGCATGATGTTGTAATCCGGTTTTACAGACTTGGGTTACACGTTAAGAGCCACCTTGCTTGGCTTTTTTTCTCGTACGGTAGAAACATTTACCAAGTGAGAGCCACAGCCCCGTGCTCAGGGTGTGAAACCGGTGCCCCCCGGCTCAGCCAGGGAAAGAAAAGGGAAGAGGAAAAGGCGATGGCAGCGTTGGTTGGTTTGGCTTGGGGAGAATTAAAAAACTCTAACGTTACTGCTCCCGTGAGGGAGCTGACAGAGAAGCAGCTTTTCCTTTTGGTTTTCTTCATGTGGTGTCTCCTGAGGAGGCTTTGGCCAGTTTTGGTGAGGAGCTGGAGGTCCCCCCAGCAGTTCAGCTCTAGGGTGACAGCGCTGCGTTCCTCTTGTCCTGCTGGAGGTCCTGCCTGTGTCCTCCATAGGAAGCCCCAGAAGATGTGTCACCATCAGCAGTCCCAATATTGCTGCGCTTGTGTATGTGCTGAAGGGTGGGGAGAGGGAGTTATGTCACTTTCAGGTGTCCTCATCTGCTTCACAAAGAGAAGAGAAATCGCTAAAAGATGGTGTTTTGTTTTTTTTTTTTTTAAAAAAAGTGGTGGTGAGTGAGAAACCAGATTGGTAGACTTGTTCTGTTCAGTAGATTTAAAATAAAATAAGCTATCTACCTCTAGCTTTCCCAAAGGTAACTCTTCGTTTAAAATGTATCTTGGTCTGTATTCCCAACTTGAGTTTTTAATCCCCTCCTGCAAGGAACATATTTTAAAAGCTGAATCCTTCGTGGCTGTAAAGCACTGGTACCTGCAGGGGCAGCACGTCATCCTCGTGCGTGGGGCTGCCCACGGCCGGTGACTCCACTGCTGGGAGGTTGATGTGGCCCAATGACACGGATGTTGTTCGCTTTCTGGGTGGTTTTTTTTAACGTGCCTAGAGTGTTTAGGTCCTTCTGAAGCCTCAAAATTTTACCCAGTTTGAATCTGAATGCCGCTGGCCGCATTGGGAGCGTGGCCGAAGGAAGGGGCTGCCGAAGTCCACACTAGCAAGTTTGGCAAAAGTTGAAGGGGGGGGGTTGATTATTGCTTCCAATTTTTGTCAACATTTCCTCCCTCTGTTTTTTTCAACCAACAGGTGTTCAGGGGTAAGGAAAAGCCCCGTGGGTGCCCATCCCATTTCTCCCCGGGTCGCTCAGGGCATTGAGGTGTATTTTCCATCGCTGAGCTGCCCTTACCCCTGGTGCCCCCCATCTGCTGGGTTTGCCCTGATGCCTGGGGCTGGTTCCCCAGCCTTCGCGTGCGTGACGACATGTGTCTGTTCCTGTATTTATATGATTTTGTGTTCTCTCCCTTTAGATTAGAATATGTAATGGTCTCGTTACGGTAATTGCTGCAGGTAAGAGCGATGCTTCCCGCAGGCCCTGCTGCTGCTGGCGTTGTGCTCCATCACTAACACCTCTCCTCCTCTTCCTCCTCCTGTGCTCAGCGCGTGGCTGCGGTGGCTCTGGGGCTCTTGAGGCTGTCTCTGCTGTCCCTGTCACCATTGCCTGTCTTCTCCCACACACCGAGCCCCGTGGGGTGCCCCGTTGCCCACCCGGCTGCTGCCCGGCATGGCCACTGCCACCGCGGTGGTCACGGCCAGGGCACCCTGGGACCGGGTGGCCACTGGCAACAGGCTGGGTGCCAGCCCGTGCCCTGTGGTGGCGAGTGCCCCCAGGAGCCGCGTGGCATCACCTCCCGGGCACTGCTCGCCCGGGAACCAACAGAACTTGCAGGAAAGAGTTGCTGTGCAGCTTTTGGTGGGGTATCTGGGGTTTTTTTGAAAGAGTTGCTGTGCAGCTTTTGGTGGGGTGTTTGGGGTTTTTTCCCCCCCCCCCTTTTTGCAAATCTCACGTACTTGGCTGAATTGTAAATTTTAAGCGCTCCGCTGGTCCACTTCTAAGTCGGAAACTAGCATTTTTTTATTTACTACACCACGGGGGAGCTGCCACTTGCATTTTACAACTTCTCCTTTCACGTTGCCTGTTCACCCTCTGAAACAAACATGGCCGGGAGGGGGGGGTGGGGGGGAAACCATCCCCCAGATCACCACAAAACCAAAAGGGCCCGAGCCTCTCAGGAGCACTGATGCCAACGTGATGCCGAATTCCCCGGGCACGTGCCGGGGGGTGTGTGCAGCCCCCGTCCCTCCCGGCCGCAGCTGAGCCAGCGGAGCCTCCTCGCCCAACAAAGTTGCAGGCTCCCTGTGCAAGACGGCCAAGTAATTAGAGTTCGTGCCAGACAGCTTGCGAGTGGAATTATAATATTTGTATGAAAGCCTTTATCTTTTGTGGTTATTACTTGCTCACTCTGCAGCTGCTGTCT